TTATACTCACAACCTACTTTACATTTTTCAAAGTGCTTATGCGATTCTCACAATATTTCTGTGAATTAGGCTGAGTGCAGGAGGAGTACTAGACTAACACTCAGAAAACCAGGACTGCATAATTCATCTGTCAAACATGACATTGTGCTTGTATCTCTGAGCTTTGGTGGCCTTGTCTGTCACATGGTGATGGTATAGCTGAAAAAATGTGAGGAATAATTCTTTATCAGAGAGGAGAAAATGAAGAGGTTCAAGAAAGTACAGTGAGAGTCTTAAGGTCATAGAAGTAAACACAAAGTCACCTTGTGTCTGAGAACTATTTTACTTGGCTTTCTCTCTATAAAAATGTGTTGTTTTAGCATGTGACAAACTGTATCTATTTTTTAAGTTATGTAGATACATAAACTTCATACTTGTAAACTGACTTAATTTATCCTCACCAGTTAATTACTGTGGTTACTTGACATTTTGAGAGTTTAAGTTCTGAGATGTTTTATTGAAAAAGAGAAACAAACCTCTAACAACTCATGACATGTAGTAATTTGTAATTTTCTTTTCTTGGTAATTAACTTAGTAATTTTAATAGTGTATGCATAGAACTTAGAATTCAGAATTGTTGTTCACCTAAAGTCTAAACAAAACTACCAATTATTATTGCATCTTCACACTTGTAACTTCATCCAGAAAATTAAATGAAACATGGATTTTAAGAATTTAGAGACACATAAACATATTAGATCACATCTCTTAACAATATCAAAGTTTGCCATATGAACATTAATGGCGAGTTCAATGGCTGACATTTGAATGGTAAAATAGAGATGTCAAAAAACTTATAATGAAAATGTTTTGTTTAAAGTTTTCAAGTTAAGTCCATTTATTTATTTACAAAAAAAAGTGCCAAAGATTTTCAGCACACTGACAGTTGAATGGCTATGGCAGTGTTTTTCCTCTAAGGCAGTTTTTCTTCCCATTTATACTCTTGCATAAATCTCTCTCTGAGCACCAATGAAGGTTAAAACGCGTATTCACAACTTTATTCAAAAGCTTCACTCATTTGGGCAATTCTTTTCAAGAGTGCATTTATTGGTTCCCCCTCTGCTTCAACATAAAAGACCTAAAAGAACACAGATCTACAAATTGGTTTGTAGCAAGTGTAGGTCTTCATAGTTTGCAGGACTGAGTGACATTGTTTGGCATAGGTGTTATGGGCTCTCTTAGATATTACTCAGTGTGGAAAAAACATTTCTCTTTTTCACAGGGGAGTCAAGGAGGCATTGGAAATTTCCTTCAGTCTAAGGGGAAGTGACTGATATGTTTCAAAGTGTTCAGTCTCATTTTCATATAAATATTTTAGTGCTTTTTCAGATATAGGCATAATGCCTGGGTTTCCTTAGAGGTATTTTGATGAAAGTATGCATCGTTTTGAAAGTAAATAGAGTCATAATAGAGTGAAAATAATCTCCTGAACCACTTGGTTCATTTCCAATAACCGTTGATTTTCCCTTGTCCTATAAAATGTTGCTAGCATTAGTTTCTGGGGAAAGAGAAGCAGTAATCAACTTATCACTGCTCCTGAGCAGGTTCTTCTACTTAGGGTGAAGTAAGTTTTTCTTTCAATAAGATACTTGACACATCAGAATAAGACTTGGACTTCTTTTATTCTGAATTTTTCAGTTTTCAAAACTAAAGCTAGTGTTCTGTTTTTACCCTAGTAGTTTTAAAACTCTTGAGCTATAAAGAAGTATTTTTATAATTCTGGTGCAATGGGCATGTTGGGTTTGCCAATCTGCCCATTGGGCTATTACTTTTATTCATTTCAATGTGTTTTCAAGATGATACTAAAAAACTTTTTAGAGTTATTTCCTTGACCATCCCTTCTGTAACACCATTTCCACCCCTCTTTCCTCCACTTTCTAAGGCATCCTCTTGCCTCTGGGTTCTCTCAAGGGTCTAATGAGGATTTCCTGGCTGCAGTGTGAGAATGCAGAGCCTTTCTGCCTCTACACCTAGGTAACTCTAGTGATGAAGGAATTTGAAGGAGGGCCTGGGAGAAAGGTGAGAAAAATATTTTACTCCTGCTCTATAATTTCTGCATGCTCAGAATAGATGGAACTGAGATTTTTTGAATGTATATATTATTGTGCCTTTAGCTTTTTATTTCAATCAGAAATCTTTCTGTAGGCCTATAACATAGTTTAAAGTAGAACACATTAGAGAAGGGGTCAGAAATGATCAATAACTGCTGAGAAATAAAGCCGAGTCCATTTTGTTGTTTGATTGTGGGTGGGGCGGTTGATGTTGATTCCTCGTTATGACTGCATAACCATAGGACACCGTAGGGTGTGCTTGATATAGTGCAGCCTCATTTAGATTTGGTCATGTTTTCTCTTGTGCTTGCTCCAGGGAGGATGGTGGATTTTCCAGGATACAGTCTATCTGGTGCAGTTGCCTCCTTCTTCTTTGTATCGCTCACCATGAAGCAGTCAGGTAGGGGGCCCTCCCTCCCTTTACTGCATACCCAAATGTCCTAGAGATCCAGTCCCAATGCAGAGGTCTCAATTCAAAAGGGCTAGTCCAATGTTAAGAATGAAGGTCCAGGGGTCAAAACATGTGTGTTCCAAAAAGGGTTTCTTCTTCCAACTGTGTTACCTTTGAACACTTACTTGAGTACCTTCTGCCTTAGTTTCCTCATCTTCATGATCAGTATAACAACATATCAACATCTCAGAGGCTAACACAGGCTTTAGGGTTAAATGAGGCTGAACATAGAAAGCACTTGAATCAGTGCCTGGAACACATTAAATTATTAATTCATTCTCCTCTGTATATTCAGGACAGTACTCTGGGGGCTGGAAAACTAACTGTTTTGTAGCATAAATGAAAAAGCATTAAAATACTTAGAAATAAGAAATTAGAAGAAGACTTTCAAGAAATGGACTTGGAAATCTCAGTAGCCAAGTTTTGTTGGTCAAAATATTGTACTTTGAAAAAGGATTATGAAAATTCATTGTCAGTGGGTAATATCAGAGCCCCAAGGAAAATGCAGCATGACAAAGTGGGAAAAACACTGGACAGCGCAACAGAAGGCACAGGTTCCAGATATGGAGTGTTGCCATGTGATGTGATGAGGGTGCCTTCCTCCACGTAATGCACTCGTCTAACCTGTAAAGCAGTCAACTAGGTGATATGACTTCAGCTCTAGCTTCATATTTAGATTCCATCAATGAAGAATGCAAGCAGATCTTTACTTAAGTTTTTAGTGAACTTTAGAGCAGCATCTATTTGATATTGAGCAAGAACTAAGCAAGGTGAGGTCCCTTCATAGAAGGATTGGATCTGCACAGAAAAAGTGCAAATAGACCTGGAACATTTTAGGATGAGAAAGACGTAATATACATGGCATAGGGAATTATTAAACATAACAAGCAGAATTATTAAACATCTCTTCAATTTGCAGATAACAAAGAAGTCAAACAAGACTCGACATTTAATTGGAAGGCTCAAACTCTTTAGACAAAATATTGTCCTTAATCCACCACAAAATGTCCTTGTAAAAACTGCATTGTACAATAACCCCAGTAACTGGAGTCTTGCCTGCTACAGGCCAAAAAAGAAAGAAAGAAAAAAACTCATTTTTTTTTTTTACCTCAGACAAGAGCAATCTTGAAAAGTTAAAAAAGTCTATTGAATAAATTTATTACCTAAATTTTATTACCTAAGAAATTTTGTTACCTAAGAAATGCGATAACAGTGTCAGTCACTAACAATATAAAGTGAAATCACCATAAAATATAAAATAAATCACTAATAAAGTTCCCAACTTAAGTTACACAGTAATTTATTTGAGAATAAAAATAACCCAGAGATGATGGTTTTAGTATCTTAAAGATGAAGAAATTGAGATTCCAAATCTTAAATCTCAGTACTGGAAAATAATGGATTTGCACCCCCACATCACACAGTTGGTGACAGATTCGGCACTGTCACTCGCATTTTTGAACTGCATGCTATTTTCGGTATGCAAATTTGTCTCTGTAGCAGCCAAATATGCAAATCATCAGCCTGGATTTCCCTAAATCATTACAGTTAAAGCCCTCCCTCCTTCCGTTGCTTCCATTTGGATGGGTTGGGCATTCCAAAGCAAGCACATTAATCTTCCAGTCGGCATTTCCTGGTTCTTCTTTTTCACTGTTTTGTAGACTTTAGAGTGATTGATCCTGCCCGTCCTATCCTGGCTGGGGTTGGAGAAGATGCCCTACTAACCTGTCAACTCCTCCCCAAGAGGACCGCGATACACATGGAGGTGAGGGGGGTACTACTCAGAGCCCAGCCCACATGTGTTGTTTGCATACCTGAATGGAGCTGAGGTGACTGAGATGCAGATGGAGGAGTACAGAGGCCGAGTAGAGTGGATAGAGGACGACATTGCCAAGGGAAGCGTGGCTCTGAAGATGTACAACATCTGACCATCTGATAATGAGCAATACTGGTACCATTTCCAAGAGGGGAACTATTGTGGAGAAACAAACTTTCTGCTCAAAGTAGCGGGTGAGTATCTGGGAAAAGACATAGGGTCTTGGAGGGAGAAGCATATTAATTTGTGGTAAGCTTATTGCAGGTTGAAGAACTCCCTTTAATCATCAAGGCAATTTCTAATACTCAGTCCTCTATTCTGATTCATTTGAAAGCTAGTTCTGAAGTCTTCAAAGCAACCTCATGTGAACAATATTCCCAAATTTCACTTACATGGTTTTGAATATTCTTAACAATTATTTGAAATCCAAGACATGCAGTCATCAGCAATTTTGCTGAAGCATGAATTTGTGCCACACAGACTGGTTTGCAAGGGCAAGTTGATTACTGAGTGAATCTAGCTGACGGTCCAGCGTCCATATCTCAATGGAATCGGCTGTTCTCTACCCAACATCAAATATACAGTAATTGAGATGTGAACACTTCATGTAATGCCTCCAGTTAGAAAGCTAGTGGTGGGACTAAAGAGGTAAGAACTTTGTGCTTTTATGGAGATTATCACAAACTGTGTTCAATAAGCTGGAGACTTACAGATGCTTTTGGACATACTGTGAATGGCAGGGTTCTGCACGATGCTTTTGTATTAGCAAAGTAGGAAGGAATAGGGAAGAAGGGGATCACTGAAGAAAGGATCTGTCTTAAGGAAGAACAAATATCTGAAAACTAAACTATCATATGGTTCCCTGGCAGGAATAACTCCTCCATGTGCTAAAAAGAAAATTAGGCAAATCCATTTACCTTATCAGGGAAATAATTCTCTAGAGATGTTAATAGCTCTGGCTGATATAGCTTTCTTTTTACTTCTCCATTAAACTGTTTCTTAACACCTTTTTTAATTAACATCCATAACTATGATTATTATTGTTCTTATGTTCAAGGTGATTCAAGATAGATGGAGGAATCTTTGAATTTCTGAGATGTAGAGCAAGGAGGGCACATACTAAGGCATTTCTCTATCGGGGACACTTGAAAGTAAACCACACATTTTCTAAGGCTCTAGGTGAAAGGAATGAGTCTCTGTTCCATAGCAAGTGATAGAGACAGAATTGTCACTTAGGGACAATATAGTCCTCTTCGTTTAGATTTGAGAGCTATATTGAATAGAGAAAATAATTTCATGATTGTATAAAACCAAGATTTCTCGAAAATATTTTCCCATCGAATGGAATATTTAGGTACAAGAACTCCTCATGAGCTTTCCATCTTACACACACCCCATGATCTACTTACATCCCAAGAACAAAACCACCAACAAAAACAATGGAAAGAATAATTCTCATGAAAGTGATTTCTGACTTTATACTAAATATCCTATTTAAATTGGATTCACGATGTCATCCAAAATGTCAAAGTGCCTGACAAAATAATATTAATATGAAAAAGGCAAAGTTTGTGGCATAGGGGACTTCATGAATATATTATAACATCTTTGTTTACAGTACTAGAGACATAAGCAAAATGTCATTGTAGTCTTTTCTCTTATTCTCCTGCCTGGATCCAAAGAAAAATACTGCTCATGTACTAAAATTTAAAGATCCAGGCTGGGGAACAAGTATAGTGTATGTGGACTCCAATTTGAATTGAAAAAAGACTTTGGAATGGTTTTTGCTCCCCAAATCCCTGAACTCCTGCCCTCTCTATGAGCAATGCCACTGGGATCTCAGTCTCCATGGGCTCAGGTAGTCTCATGGGCTGTGTCTTCCCTCCACAGGTCTGGAGGGATCTGTAGAAAGTGGAGTCCATGGAAGGATCTGTAGAAAGTGGAGTCCAGCTTGTGTGTACTGCAAAAGGCTGGTTTCCAGAGCCCCAAGTTTATTGGGAAGACATTACAGGAAAGAAGCTTCTGGCTATCTCTGAGTATCACTTCCAAGATAAAGATGGCCTGTTCTATGTGGAAGCCATGCTTATGGTTAGGAATGCCTCTGCAGAAAATGTATCCTGCTTCATCCACAGCCCTGTCTTCACTGAGGAGAAGGGTTAGTCATCTCTATCTTAGGTCAGTGCTTTGCCTCTAGGACCAAGATGCTCAAATTAGCAGGAAAGGTTCCAAGAACTAGTCCATAGCATCTAATGTTTTTTTAATCAAGAAAAATATCTAACATTTAGTAATATGTATTAAAAGCTATAAAACATTTATGATGGAAAATATATACACTACATTTTGATTGAATAGCTACTATTAATGATATTCTAGTTATTTTCAAGTTAAAGGTTTTTTTTACTCACAAGTATGTATTACATTGTAAAAGAAATAAAACTATATTCTTTCAACTGAAATGTTTGCCTATGCTGTATTGTGCCTATTATATGAAGATAATCAAAGATGGTTGACAACCATTTACAAAATAGCATCTTAATTATAGCCTCAAATAAAGAGCAACAAAAACAACCAAAAACCCCAATACAACAGTGTTAATGTCTTATGTTACTATAAATTATAGCATTGATTAAAAATATTTTCAAATAATTTTAAAATCCTGATGTTGGACTATTTAATGATAAAGATTACATCTATCTATCTATCTATCTATCTATCATCTATCTATAAACAGACATTTCCAATAGTGTAAAGATTTTTGGCTTTAAATAACATACAACTACACTAAGATGTTGGGGACACGATCTATATTTAGATATAAGGTTATAAATATATAGTTATTCTTATTATGAATGGGTATAGAGAAAAATTAAAGAAAATGTTATATATTAATGTTAAAATGAGCCATATATGTGTATATATGTATTATATACATCACTGTAAAACACATATATATATACGCATACATATATGTTTTATCTTTCAGTTTGAAATTATAGGTGATAATTATTATGTCCATATATTTTTATACTTTCTGTCCACTTATAAAAAGAATGTATTATTTTTATAAGAGAATTAAATATATTAAATAGCAGAAACAAACAGAATTATTGGGTGGTAGATTGAGCAATTTTTGTTGTTTAGAGGTGATCCATGGAAAAGAATCAATATTTTTCTGCTTTTATATTCTTTTTTTTTTTAAATAAATCTAGCTTTCCAATAAAATGTAAGACTTACTTTTATTTTTTTTTTAAATATTTTATCTCCTTTCTCTTAGAACAAATTGCTTAATATGTTGTTCTCGTTCTTTTTCCAGAGAAACTCCAGAGTGAGTTGGGTAAGTAGACGTGGCTACATGCACCGGTGTAGATGAGCCTCTAGGCTCCCTGGACAAAGCGAGAAAGCAACTGCGACACCACGTGATCCCGTTGAGCACCCAAGGCTTGCTTTTCTCAGGTCTCAGGTTCAGTTAGTACCCGAAGGGACCGGCAAAGCAGAGGCCTGCACAGCCTCCTTCAGGCTCCTTTGTAAGATGTTACCTGCCACTTTCAGTATTTGCGGAGACCCGGGTGAGCCTCAGATGAATGCCAGTAAAGGACACAGACATAACCTCTGCACTGTTGGATGGGAGGAAAGGCAGCTGCTTTTGGGTGTGTGGGGGAGGCATAGGACAGCTGGTGGGGCTCAGAGTCCCTTCTAAAACATCTCTAGTGTGAGTGAAGGCAGTGTCATCATGAAAACTGGAGGTTACCACCCACCACCTCCATCCTCTGGCCCTGATATGGTTTCTGCGCTCCTCACTACAGTAGGTCCTAATCTCATCGCTCTTGGGAAGCTACTTTCCCAGGTGTAGCCTGGGTCCCTTCTTTTTTTTTTTTTTAACTTTATAGTTGAACTCCAGGTATTATTTTACTGTACCTAAGATAAGTGGTTTAAAAAATAACCAACTGTTGTTTGAACCTTTTACCTCCTTACCATCTTCCTTCTTTCTATGACCTCTTCTCTCAGCACATGACAACCAGCCTGCTCCCTGCCCAGATGCATCTGAACTTGCATCACTTATAGTCTCTTTCATCAATACCCTGCTTTCTCTCAAGTCATCTATTACAGGAGTATGGGGGAGTTGGGGTAAAGTGTGCATGCTGTGTGCACGTTAGGAGAACTTAAGCACACTTTCAGCTTATGTAGGAGTTTTTGAGGAAAATCAAGGTGGCAAACACACCCCAATATCTGCCAGAGTCTAGTGTGACACTTTTGACTCCATTAGGCCATAAAGATAAAGGGAAGGCCTCAGAACGGTCAAAAGTAACTCCATAATCTGAGAAGAGCTGCACATCTGTGAGCCTTGCCTTCCAAGTAGGACTCCTTCTATCCGGGACAGCATCTGCTTGTGATCAGACAGAAACTTTAATCTGCAGAGTTTATTAGTTACAGATCAGAAAGACGAGCCAGTGTTTGGGGGCAGGTTGACACATGTCTCTGTCCATTAGGAAGATTTTAGGTGAAGAGTTAACTGAACCAATTTGATATGTTTATTGGAGATCCAGTACACAAAATATATTCCTATGTCATGTAGTTCCTAAGTTTTGCTGACCTTCTGGGACCACAATAAAACAAAATGAAAAGATGGAGCTTCCCCTGGCTCCCTGTCAGGTGAAAGGGAGAGGGCTGTGCCCTCAGGAGCTTTGAGGGTATGCTGTTTGATTGAGGAGACTGGAACTTCACAGTCCCCTCTGTGTTATTCCATGAACTAGAGCTCAGAAGCCGGGACCCACTGCAAAGGGCTGCTGGCAAATAAAGCTCTCTTTGGAAGTACTGAGGCTGAAATTTCAGTTCTCACTCTAGCAAATAATGTGATTGGTTTATAAAAACAGTGACTAGTTCTTTAAAATATTAATTATAAGCTGGGCACTATGCTAAGTGCTTTACAAGAACTTTTTTTCTTATGATAATTATAAAAGTTAACAGCGTTAACCTCATTTTACAGTTGAGAAACAATCTAGAAACATGTGGTTTGCCAAAACCACCAAGAAATTGTGATGTTTGCTATGTCTGACTTAAGAGTGCAGGTTCTTAATCATTTATGTGTGATTTAAGTAAATCATTGGTCCCTATTTTTCTCTTCTTTAAAATGAACATGTTGAATTTAATCTCTAATGTACTATCAAGTTCTAAGAGTCTAAATATGATATGATATAATATGATATGTAATATACTATACTATACTATACTATACTATACTATACTATTACTAAAGCATATTTGAGGAATGAGATAGCCTACTTAATTGAATATGCTGATTGAAGGAGGATTATATGATATGATGTTGAGATTACCAGATGTCAAGGAATTAAAGTTTAAGTTGGTGTACTTCACACTCTAGAAAGGATTTAATTTTTCAGTTGATATTCAGAAGGCATTTCAGGAACATACACTTAATACTCAAAAATAAAATAGAACAATAAATTTGAAACAACTTGTGCATAAAGCTATGTACAAAACTGTAAATATATGGTGACAGAAGGAAATTTAACTTTGGGTGATAAAAACACAATTCAATATACATATGATGTATTATCGAATTGCACACTTGAAACTTATATAATTTTATTAACCAGTGTCATAAACTTAATTTAAAAACTGTATAAAAAAGGAGATTATGCAGAGCTGCTCTCAAGGACCTCTTATTCTAGTAGAACATCAATTATTAACAAACAGGGCTACATAATGTTTCCAGTACTTTAAACTTTATTTTCACTTAGATCCTAGAAAAACAGTTTTGTTACCTATAAGGCACTTAATTAATTACATCTCCAAACTTACATTTTGCTTTTTTAAATCTCCATTAAAATTAATGTTAGCTCTTAATTAACCTATTCCTGGCAGGGTAATCCATCTTGATACAGTACCAAGGGCCATGAACTGGGTTAAAAAAAAATCCTCATATGGGTAACAAAGATGTTTTCCTAACAATCTGTTTTACTAAGAAATTTATTGTAGGACACATGGATGGAGAAATAGTAGCAAATTAATCCCTAGTTCATCTTTTTTCTGACATATTTATTTTTAGATTTCACCAGATACAAATGGAATGGAGATAATAGTGTTTTAGGTAAAACTGAAGCAAATAATGCTGGAAATAACTGGGAGTCAAATTTTAGCTAGAATAGAAGGGAATAATCTGAAAATTAAAATTGTGTTGATAGCAAGTTTTCTCTCTAGAGAAGTACCTAGCAAATTTTGAATAATTACATAGTGAGGACTTTTTTGCCTTTGGTCCATCCAGACAGTATGCATATTTATGACTGTATTTCTATTATAAATGATCATAACATATGTGAAAGCATTCTTACCATTTGACAGAAAATGACTCTCAATTTAGAACAGAGCAAAATTGGAATGGACAGGGCTCAATGAGAACTGGAAGTGTAGTACAGTTTGGATTCAGGAGAGCTGTCAGGGAAAAATTTCTGTTCTCAACAATGAGAAGATCAGACTCTTTTTGCATATTCATTATTGTTTTGCGTTTTGTATTTTGCCAACTTCCCCAATTCTTGATCTTATTTTTCTCAAAACCATTTGAAGACATAGTGCCTGGTGTGTATTTAGGGCCCCACATGTGTGGGACCTTTGAGAACTGAAATGATGGCTGGATTTGACTCATACGGTATTATAAAATCAAACCAGGGGAAGGTTTCTTCACATTTCATTACTAAAAATCCACCTGAGACTCATTTTCAGCCACTCCCCATTACCAAGGCAGAGGGTAGGATTTGCTCCACTGCCTTCAGGTTTCAGTCTACATGAGGAATTCCACGTACATTGCATGGTCATCCAAGAGCTTATATAAATTATTTAACTCCAGATTTTGATAGTGATATATTTGTTTTACAGTTTAAGAAACTGAGGCATACACTGATTAAGAAATTGTTTAAGGTTATGCAAATTTGAAGTGATAAAGTATTAATTTTATTCTAAGAGTTTTAATTGCAAATTTACCTTATTGGGCTATAATCTGAATACAATTATAGTTAGGAGCAAGTGAATGTTCCGTCAGTGATTTTTTTTTTCAGATTGACACACATGATGAGATGGTTCTGACTTTGAATAGGGACAACCTCTATCTTTATTAAACTAAACTTCTTCCTCTTCAAAGGGTGACCTTGAGCTTCAGAGCTCCTCTGGGTTGCCCATGGGTTCTAAACCCCACTCGAGATGTTCTTACTGATGATACTATTTGCTCTATTTAGAGTCTTTCATTGTTTTTTGTCTGTTGTATTTAATAGCTTCCTTAAAAGTGATTAGACCTTCCCAGCCCATCCTTGTCAGAGTGGGAGAAGACATAGAATTAACCTGTTACCTGTCCCCAAAAGCTAATGCACAGAGCATAGAGGTGAGGTGGGTCTGATCTCACCATTATCCTGCTGTTTATATGTATATGGATGGGGACCATGTGGCTGGAGAGCAAATGGCAGAATATAGAGGGAGGACAGCATTGGTGACTGATGCCATTGATGAGGGAAAACTAACCCTACAGATACACAATGCCAGAACTTCAGATGATGAGCAGTACCTTTTTGAAAACGATGGTGTCTACCAGGCAGCCAGTTTGGATCTGAACATAATAGGTAAGAATTCTAGATAGATGTTTTGACTTCAACATCGATTTCCACTGTTTTAACATTCTAGTTCCTAGAAAATTTTCCTGGCACCTGAAATTTTCTTAATTTCTTTTCACTCATCAAATTTATATTGAACCTTCTGATGTGCAAGAACCATCATCTATACATAAAGTCCACAGATGTAAATGGATCAAATTTAATTCTTTGGGTATAGAATTTCTATCCTTCCCAGAATCTCCATAAAATGACCATACAGAGTAAAATTTGAGAATTTTACTCCGTAATTTTACACAGAACTCATTATTTCACAGAGTGTTATTAAAATTCTGGGAAATGTGTAGTTACTGGGAAGTGTAATGAGTTGGAGACTAAAGTAGATTCACATATAAACAAAAATAATAAATATTGACAGAATTGGCAGGATGGAGGAGGAAAGACAAAATTTCTCCCTTCAACATAATTTTTGACTGTCTGTATTTGTGAGCGAGAATTGATTTTCCAAGGCTAGCAAATGCCATTGAAGACATAGGCCAACATATTGGATACTCTATTTGTTTTTTTGTTTTTCATTTTCATTGTGTCTAAATTAATAAACATATTGAGAAAATATCTACAGGAGCACATGCTGTGAGGTTAAATGGACTCTATCATTTCCTGCCATTGGACATACATATTTATAAGATTTTGATCTTTGAGACTATTTTCTTACTGACTTACTTACTCACTTCCTGGACCTGTGATCCATGCCATAGTCAAAGTTATTTTGTTCTCAGGTATAGAAGAAAAAAGATTGAATTTGAAATTTATCATAACCTTTGACCTGTCCCATGATGATTTTAGAAATACAAAAAATAAATAAATAAAAATGTACAAACAAAACAAAACAAGAAACAGTTCCCACTAGTCTCATCCCTAATTGGAGCATAACTCCCCCATAAGTTTTGCTCTCTTCCCTAAGTTTCTGAATCCCCCTCTTCCCTCTCAGTGAAGTCACTGACCATATAGCTATTTACTGAAACTCTAAGTTTTCTATCTTGATCTCTATTCCCTAGAGCTGGATTCTTCCCCACTGATCACCATGGAGAGACTGAAGAATGGAGAAAAACAGCTGATGTGTACTCCAGAAGGGTGGTTCCCACAGCCCCATGTGCAGAGGAGGGACATGGAAGAAAAGACAACACCATCAGTTTCAGAGGTCCTGACTCAAGGCGGCCAGGGACTGTTCCAAGTGGAGGCGTTTCTGTTGGTCACAAACATCTCTGTTATGTATGTGACTTGTGCCATCAACCCCCTTCTTGGCAAGGAGAAAATGGCAACTTTTTCTCTCTCAGATTGGTGATTCTATATAATCCTCTCAGCTTTAGGAAATAAATATGAAGATCAACCCAGACTTATTCAATTTATTGCTCTCCTATATTCTAATTTTTATTTTCTTCTCTCTGATGAAGTCTCCTGCTGTCTCTTACGAAGTTGTTCTTCAGGACTAGGGATCCTACTCCCCTGAGTGTCTCCCTGACATCCCAAACTAAAGCCCTGTGGTTATATTGTTATATACAGAAATCTAAGAATTGATTCTATTGTCACTGTATCTACAAGCTCTTTTTTCTGATATGAAAATAATGACATCACTTTGCTGTTTTCCTCATAGTGGATTTTCTTCTGGATTAGAAACTAATTTTTCTTAGCACCACCTTCATGGCTATGGACTGAGTAATTTTATCCTTTTCTAACCTTGTTATTCCACTGATTGTGGTGATATAACTGGAAAGAGAAGGGGAAGAAATGTGTGTGAGTGCGTGAGAGTTCATGTGTGTATATTCCTGCAAAGAGCAAACAATAAAGTTAACATAAACTTCAAGTCTCTCCTCAGCTTCTGCAGAACAGAGAGGAGCAGCAACTCCCTCCCTGAGAGGCTCAGTTCTCACCCTTTCCTCCAGCTCAGGAGCTGTTCAGATAAAATGATCGATCTTGAAAATTTCTCAGTTTCATGACTTAATGAGATCTTGCGGTTTTCATTTTGGATGACTTTTTCGTGGAAGATACTGCTTATTTGGGGATTGCTTCTTGCAGTGGTTGTAGGCCTGGTTGGGAGGACGAGCTGTAGAAAAAAAGTAGTTAGGTAAACAGAAACAGTGTGGGGCACACTGCAGTGGGAACCTTACTGCACACTTTCCTTAGCTTCTCAGTCACATATGGCAGTCATTCAGTGAACCTTCAGCAAGTAATGAAACATGAGGGTCTATGACTTACAGTCATGCAGTTGAGGACCAGTGCTGAATGAAATCAGCATTTACAGTGATAACAGAAACAAGAAGATTACGAGACAATAATTTGATCCCGTAGCGCAAATTCCCCAAGCAACCTAGTTAAGGGAAAGGAAGAAAAAAAATGTGGCATAGCCATCCTTGCTTTCAAAGCTGAGAACTGAGATTTAACTGATTCTTTTGGCATGTACATTTCTCTGAGATCTTCAACAATATGATGACTTACTTATTGGTGATTCCTGCTCTGCCTATGAAAAACTTCTCACATATTGATAGAGAGGCTGTTGCATATGCCCTAGAAAGTTCTTCCACTTTAAATTTCTTGTCACTGTAACTTTTGTGTGCCCGTTTGGATGTTAATACTATGAAATTAATATTTTTTAAATACTTCCACAATATTATTTTCAGAATGAATTTTTTCTCTACAGTGAATGTGACACTGAATCTATATACCGCTCACCCAGAACTGATCCTTTCTGAGGGAAACAAGTGTGTGGCCCATGGAAATGTATGCAACCAGACGTCCCACAGAGATTTGACAGATGGCTCAATATTCCAGGCCAGGAGGGGCTCATGTCAGGGAGGTGGTAGTAAGAGATCAGCTTGGGGAGAGGATAGGAAAGGTTCTAGGTATTTTCAAGGACAATGTGAGGGAGTCATATTTGTGTCACCTGAGGATGGGTTTGGGTATTTGGTTGCTATGGACATGAGTATGGCCATTACTTCTCCTCCAAGCCTCCTTCCTGAAGGTGGCCACAGGATAAGTCAGAGAAGTATCTCCCTTGACTATGTATTTGGACTCCTCTCCTTTTATAACATGACTAAGTGCCTTATCTGTACCTTCCCCTCAATTTTCTTCTCTGAAACTCTATATTCCCTCTTCATTCTTTGGCCCCCAAATGTAGGTTCTCCTGATACTGTTCCTGCACCCAGAGGAGACTCTGCAACACCTCCAGGGAAAACAACAGCTTTGGCTTCTGTAAACTAGGATTGGATTCCAAGCCCGAGCTTATTTCTCTTTTCACCTTGAAAAGGAATTTACAAGACCATCCAGATCAAGAGTGCTTCAACCTCACTCCGGTTAACTAATCCCTTCAGAGACTTAATCTATCCCAAACTCTCTGATATGCTGTCTGCTCATCAAATCTGATTATTTGATGACCAAAGACTCTTAGAAAGTCCAATGGGAAATACAATTTAGCCTAGAGGAGGACATACAAAAAATAATCAAATATTTGATTGGTTTCTTTAAGAAGGTGACAATTAATTATCCAAGTAGAGCTGAGAAAATGGAAAAAATACAGCTAAATATAAGGAAAAAATATGATTACTAAGATATAATCTAGAAAATTATATAAAGTGTGGAATCTCTGCACCAGACTTTTTAGAAAGTTAATAGAGAAGTGGAGTGGGGGCCATTTTTAGAAAATCTAGTCCCAGAGAAAAATTATGTATCATTTACATAAAAATGTGAATTTTATTTTAAGAACAAAATAAAAGACACAATTTAAAATTAATAATTATAAAATAAATAAATATAAGCAATAAAGACAAAACAGTAAAATTATTTTAAAGTCATAATGAATTAAAGAAAAGAAGCTACATGTGGAAGAAGAAAGAACGTAGGAAAAGGGAGACCTGAAAAAAGTCTTAAAGTAGTCTGAAGTGAGAATGAGAATGACGCTCTGCTGCTTTCTAGGAAAACAAACATCACAGCGTTATCACTGCTTTTTGAAGATTATCTACAGCATTCTGGAGTTTCTCTTTCAGGTCCTAATATTTTTTTTCCTATTTTTGAACTAATAAATTTGTCTTTGAAACTATGTATTATTCTCCCACAAGTATTTACACATTAGTTTTTAATTTTTTTAATTGTGGTATAATGCACATAACATGAAATAATTTAAACCATTTTAAAGTGTACAATTTAGTGGTATTTATACATTCACAATATCATCATTATTCAGTTCCAGAATATTTTCATTACTCCAAAAGGAAACTCCATACCCATTAAGCAGTCACTACCCATTTTTCCCTCTCCCCGGCCCCTGGCAACCACTAATCTACTTTCTGTCTCTGTAAATTTGCCTATTCTGGATATTTCATATAAATGAAATCATAAAACATGCGAATATTTTGTGTTTGGCTTTTTTTTATTCAGCATAATGTTTTCAAAGTTTATTCATGTTGTAGCATGCACCATTACTTTGTTCCTTTTTATTAATTAAAAAGACTATTTTAAGAGCTTTCTTCAGGTTTACAGCAAAATTGAGTGTAAAATTCAGAGCATTCTCATATCCATCCTCTCTCTCCCCATAGTTTCTTCTATTATTAACATCTTGTATTGGTGTGGTACACTTGTTACAATTGATGAACCAATATTGATACATTATTTTCAACTACAGCCCATACATTAGGGTTCACTGTTTGTGTTGTCCGTTCTATGGGGTTTGACAAATTATTTACACATATTTGATACATTGCTATACCTTTATATACTTTATATATCTTTCACATTTTTAAGACAAATTTATTAGTAAATATGTTAGCTTTGCCTTAAAATATTTTTGACATTATTTTGATTTATGTAATTAAAAATGTTTTATTTATAATGTCTGAAGGTTAACTCTCCTTTTATTCTTCTTTCTTTTTTGTCTTCCTTCCTAATCAATCAAACTCTTTGCTTGTTAGTCTTGTTTTTGTATAGGCCCTATATATAAATATATAGGCTTTCCCTAGGAAAGTATCATGAAAATGTGCTTTTTTCAGTCAAATTCTTTTGTTATGTGTTAAAAAACATATTTTTCTTTAGCTTCCCAAATTGGGGATTCATTTACTTTCTCAGTTCCAATTCCAGTTAGGAAAACTGTAGGAAAGGAGATTGATGGCTTGAGTAAGGTACCCCAATCATTGAAACAGTCACTGTGATTAATGAGTGAGTAGTAATTGGATTGGCCCATCAAGAATCCAGTACCGTCTTACTCTTAATGAAGAGATAGCTGGTTGTAGTTGTGTATAGCATGCCAATTCTCAGAATAGATGTACAGATTAGATGGACTCAGTTTCATGGAGAGGATTGGAGGAAACAAAGAGACTAAATTTGTTAACTCCACTGCAGGAATTTTTTCTCATTTGTCTGTAGACTACAGATTCCATTAGGGCAGTAATATTTTTCTTTTTTAAAAAAATGTATTTCATAACCTAGAAAAATGTTGATCAATAAACATTTGTGGAATGCATGAATCCAATAAGTGGAATATTTATTGAATCCTTATTTGTAGAATGCTCTATGCTGACCCCTAAAGATAAAATACTCAATAAGATATAATTTCTGCCCTAAGACTTTTTTTATTATATTGAAGTTTCTTTATTTGAATGTCCTACCATACCTTTATAAACTCCACTCAAAATGGGACTGCCAGAGTAGATTAGCAATAAAAAAAAAATTCAGGTGGTGAATTCAGGTCATTACTTTGCCAGAAACCATAGGCTACTTGGAAACTCTTCACTGTTTGTTGATTTACCCACAGCTAGAGTCGAGGACATGGTGAATAGTGTCATCCCTGACATTTCTACAACTTTGATTCCAATAGGACATCAACCTTCACATTTTCTTTCATGGTCCACCTTCAGCCTATACTCTCCAATCTCTAAGGTTAAAAGGACAAAAACTCATTAAAATAACTGGAGAAGTGACAGGTGGAAGAACCCTGTTGTAGAACAAATATGAATTTAGTTCCTGCAGGAGAGATATGAAAAATCATTAGAGAACCTAATGCTGAATGTCCTGAGTACATAAGAAAAATATCCAAAACTGAACCCATTTTCCTTCCTGTTGTATATCATAGTTCTAATCCCATTTGCTCCTAATTTGTTGTTATCCCCATGTATAGTCTTCTCATGTTCAGAAATCCCTTCTCATCCGCCGTATCCATGTGATTAAACCGATTAATATTTTCCAATATTCATTTATCTCTCTCCTGCCTCTATTATCTCTTGCTTGTTATATAAGCCTTCCCTTTACTGTCAGTGAAGTTAATATTCTGGACTCTGGGTTTATTCTTCCTGAGTTCAA